CAAAAACTGCGTGGAACTATGCAAAAAACGCATCTTCGCACGGGCAGCCCGTGCGTTGGCCAATTTTTTCTTTCTTTTTTCTTTTGGATAAATCACACAGATTTTTCATTTACTGGATAAAAGTTGATTAATAAGTCTATATTTATATTCTTCATTAAAATTTACCAGGAATACCAAAACTGTGGAGCTGTTAGGTAGTTATGCCATGTCAGCGGTGTGCTTGGATGCTCTCACACGTCAGGCGCAGTGTGCTAGGTTAATAACGCATGCCATGGTAAGATTAAATGATTAAAAAATATTAATATACTGCTCAAAAAATCTGCCATCGATGGAACGGAAGTGAGGCTAATGAGGGTGGAGGGAGAGTGGGTCTGCTCAGACACCGCCTGGAGATAAACGATCTTGCGATTCTCCAGACCTATCTAGATTGTGTGTGTAAGTTAGGCGATACCTGTAAAATGGGATGCAAGTTGAGGGCGCCGGATGATAAGATAACGTAATGCTGGAGAAGTAAGCAGCTGACGCAGGTGGGGAACATGCAAAAATGTGGCAATTAGGGAAGCATGCATAAAACATACATAGGCACGTACCACACATACACACAAACACACAGACACAAACACGCACACATACACATACAGACACCCACGCTGATCCCGTTAATTTTGGTGATTGAGTTGAGCAGGAACGGAACAGGAAAGGAGGGGAGGGAAGGAGGGAGAGAGGCGGAAGGAGGACAGCAACGACGACTACGGGGGATGTCCTTGAAGAACGTGTTCTTTGAATTACTGGTGCCGTGACGGCGCTGTTTTCCGGGTGCTCGTCATGCACCACCTTTCTTCACCTGCTTACTCAGCTCTCCTCCTGATACTACTGCTACTGCAGCAACGCTGTCCGCTGATCTGGTCATCAGATGTATCATTCGATATCGGATCCGGCGCTGCATCGCAGCTTATCCGTGAAGCAGCTCATCAGGTGCTCAGCAACCCGCGACCCGTTTACCTGTCATTTCGCACGCAGCATCAACCCTTACTCCTACCTCTGGCCCACATCAAAACCTACAATCGCATCAGCTATAGCAATGTTACAATCAAATTCTATCCGGATACGGTGCGACTAAAAGCCAGCAATGTCCGTGTCCAGTCCAGATCAAACATTACCCCGAACATTTGGCCAATGAGCTTTGGCGACGAGACGGTTGACTTTGGACTGTATGTAAGTTACTTCTGTTAATTTTCAACATGATCACTTTTGACTTCCCGCTTGACAAATGTCAAATAGCTATTGTTAAAAAATATCAAATAGCTATTGTTAGAAATCATCGTGACCGGCACAAACGGCGGAGGAAAAATACTTGTTGGAAAGAAAAGCCCAGGCTGGAACGCACCAGGCTGTTCAGTACGATCATGCGTTTTTGCACTCAACTCGCAGGTCGCTGTTAACAGAAATGAGATCGCTATTAACAGGAATCCTTCACTGGCATAATCGTTGCATTTAAAATGTGAAAGTTTAAGGAAAGAATTTACAGATGACTGATGTGGAGCTGGCGGCACGAATTGAGGAGCAAAACACACGGATGTTGTCGTGTTCACTTCGTGACACTTCCATCAATGCTTCGTCCAGTAATTATTGGATGGTTGGTGCATTGTTGTATATGATTGCGGATCCGATCCAGAGTCATCTCCAGCAACTGATATGCCCATTCATTGCTAGATACATATCAGACTTTGAAAGTCCCGTTATCATGTAAGCATTTTCATGCATGTAAGACTCTGTGGCAACTGACTGCTTACACTGTTTGGGTTTGATGCAGTGGATGAGTATTTAGGAATGTTTCGCTGAGCGATATTCTGCCAGTACATATACGGGACGCCATGAACACCACCGATTCATTGCTCTTCTACCGGATCACCTCAGTATCGGTGCAAGAGAAGCATATTCAGATCACCGCGCAACTTGACTGGAAACGGCCACTTGAGGGCAACCCTATGTCACTTAGTACAAATGCAACAAATGTTAGCGTCAAATGGGACAATGAAGATCGCTTGGTTGCTTGGATAGACGACTCTGCTCTTAACGACTTCCTCAGTCAGGTACTCTTCGGTGCAGATTATTAATCCTCAACAATCGATCCTCTGTTCCTCGCACGTTGCACTTTGTTTTGTAAAAGTGCTGTTTCTACAAACGCTATTTTTTCAACATTTCCATTCATCCTGTAGCTCTTCACTGGGACAGCACATTCCTCCGCGATTTGTTCATTTGCTTCCATACAATAAAATTGGTACTGGTATATGCTAGGGGAATCTTCTTCCTTCAGAAAAGTGAGAGATGAGAAGTTCTTGAGAGAGTGGAAATGACGATTCTCGCAGAACAGCTCAAAATGTTATTGTACTGGAAAACATTTTCAGGCTGGGGGGTTTCACTTCCCAGAGAAAATGATTTTTGAGAGTAAACGTATCGCTTAATTAGAACTCAGATTTTCCAGAAAACGCTTTATCCATCAAATACTAATAAAAGATAACCAAATGCTTTGTTGCAGATTGACTGGACCTTTCAGTGGATGGAAGAAACAATTGCAGTGACAAGCCCGGTGATACCACTGTCTTCACGAGAATTTCTTTCTACTCTTTGTACTTCATGTTACTTCTTGCTCAATGTCTGGGCGAGAGGAGCGCCGGTGCTGGCAGCCACGAATGGTACCGTCGTCTTAGAAAAGTAAGTGATTTTGCGTCCTCACATTACACACCTAAGCCATCGCCTTCGAGTAGTGTGAGTCTTTGGAACTTCAAGATAGAACTGTGTTGTGGATGAGTTGGAAATGAAATTCCGTCTCTCAGATCCGAAATTCTAGTGTTTGTTTTGTTTTTTTTTTTTTT